TCAGTGGAAATATAGTAGTTGGGAGAGGGGTGGAGGGGCAGGGTAAACACACACCTAATGGGTACAATGCTCATATTTGGGGTGAAGGGAACACTTACAACATCAATTTAAAATATACAAATGCAAATTATATAACCAAAATGTATATACCTTCTAATACTCTGAAATTAAAAAATAAATATTTAAAAAACTCAACCACCCCCAAATACTCGATAAATGTTGGCCATTATTAGTCTCTTGATTTTTAGAAAGAAACTATTAAAGAGAGAGATGTGCCTAAGGTCATAGAGACAACGAGATCCAGACATAAGTCTTATCTAATTTTCCTTGTGCCCATTTCATCCTCTTCATATCATGTCACTGCTTATGCTCATTAGCAATACCTCAATAAAATGGGGTACTAAGCAGGAAATTAAGTAGAAAATGACAAACTTTTTGCAAGTAGAACGTTTTCTTTTTTTTTTCTTTTTTTTTTTTTTAAGTAGAACATTTTCGTACTCTTCTAAGAGGTCATGATAGCATCCCAAAGAAATAAAATCCAGTGCTATCCTCTAGAAATTTAATACATGCCGTATCTCTGGTAGGCCACATTTAGAAAGGAAAAATAGATGTGGGAATTCATTTTAATAATGTTTCAGTTAACCAAATATATCCAAAAATTATCATTTTGACGTGTGTTATGGGCTGAGTTGTGCCTCCCCCATTCATACGTTGAAACCCTAACCCCCATCACCTCAGAATGTGACTGTATTTGGAGATAGGGGGTTTAAGGAAGTAATTAAGTTAAACATTAAGTTAAAATGAAGTCATTTGTGTCTAATCCAATATGACTGGTGTCCTTATAAGAAGAGAAAATATAAATATAGGTGCACACAGAGGGGAGAACACATGGAGACACAGGGAGAAGGTGGACACCTACAAGGCCAGGAAGGAAGCCTTAGATGAGACCCACCCTGCTGACATCTTCATCTCACACTTCCACCTTCTAGAACTGTGGGAAAACATACGTTCTTCTTGCTTAAGCCACCCAGCCTATGGTAATTTGTTATGACAGCCCTAGCAAGCTAATACAACCTATAATCACCTAATCAAAATCACTGAGATATTTTGCATTTTTTTGTCCCAAGTATTTGAAATCCAGTGTGTGTGTTACAGTTACAGCACATCACAATTCGGATTATCCACATTTTCTTCTTTTGCCTAATTATTCTGGCTATTGTTGTACTGAATTGAATCAGATGGTGGAAGTGGACATCATTGTCTTGTTCTAGATCTGAGAGAAAAAAATGTTTCAACTTTTCCTCATTTCGTGTGATGTTAGCTGTGTGGGTTTGCACAGACGGCCTTTAATGTGCTGAATTATGTTCCTTACATAGCTGATTTACTGGAGAGCTTTTATTATGAAGGGACGTTGAATTTTATGAAATACTTTTTTAGCACCCATTGAGATGATCATATACTTTTTGTTCTTTATTCTGTTGATGTGTTGTAACACATTTATTGATTTGCACATGTTGAACCACCCATTGGTCCCTGAAATAAATCAGCCTCGATCATGGTGTATAACCCTTTAAATGTGCTGTTGGATTGAGTTTGCTAGTATTCCGTTGAGGATTTTTATATCTATGCTCATCGAGGATATTGGTCTGTTGTTTTCTTTTTTCATTCTTCTTATCTGGTTTTGGTATCATGGTAATGATGGCCTCAGGGAATGAGTTTGGCAAAATTCCTTCTTCTTCAATTATTTGCAGTGGCTTGAGAAAAATGGGTGTTGGTTCTTTGAAAGTGTGTCAGAATTCACAGTCCTGGGCATTTTTTCTTGGGAAATTTTTTTACTGATTTAATATCTTTAGTTATTATTGATCTGTTCATGTTTTCTGTTTCTTCCTGGTTCAATCTGGGTAGGTTGTGTGAGGCCAGGAATTTATCCATTTCCTTTAGGTTCTCAAATTTGTTGGAATATATTTGTTTGTAAGTCTCCTTATTATTCTGTACTATCAGGAGCAATGTATCTTTTTTTTTTTGGCTGGGGCTGGGTTTGAACCCACCACCTCTGGAATATGGGACTGGCACCCTACCTTTTTGAGCCACAGGTGCCACCCACAATGTGTCTCTTTTTAAACAAAAACAAAATAAAACAGAGTCTCACTCTGTTTTGGGAAGCTGGAGTGCTGTGGTGTCATAGCTCACAGCAACCTCAACATCCTGGGTTCAAGTGATCCTCCTGCCTCAGCCTCCCAAGTAGCTGGGACTACAGGTACCCACCACAATGTTTAGCTAAGTTTTCTATTTTTAATTAGAGACAGGGTCTCACTCTCAATCAGGCTGGGTTCAAATTCCCAAGCTCGAGTGATCCTCCTGCCTTGGCCTACCAGAGTGCTAGGATTTACAGGTATGGGTTTATTTCCTATTTATTTGGGTCTTCTCTATTTTTTTCTTAGTATAACTAATGATTTTCCAATTCTGTTTGCCCCTTTTTAAAAACTTTTTGTTGATCTTTTATTTTTTTAGTCTCTGTTTTTTTTTTTTTTTTTTTGAGACAGTGCCTCAACCTGTTGCCCTGGGTAAAGTGCTGTGGCATCACAGCTCACAGCACTTCCAACTCCTGGGCTTAAGCTATTCTCTTGCCTCAGCCTCTCAAGTAGCTGGGATTACAGGCACCCACCACATGCCTGCCTATTTTTTGGTTGTAGTTGTCATTGTTGTTTGGCAGGCCCAGGCTGCGAACTTGCCACCTCTGGTGTATGTGGCAGGCACCTTAGCTGCTTGAGCTACAGGCACCGAGCCTTTAGTCTCTATTTTTATTTCTGGTCTGATCTTTGTTATTTCTTTCCTTCTTCTCCTTTCTTTCTTTGGGTTTGCTTTGTTCTGGTTTTTCTAGTTCCTTGAGGTTCACTGTTAGGTTGTTTATTTGAAATCTTTCTACTGTTTTGATGAAGGCATTTATTTCTATAACTTTTATTTTTAGCACTGCTTTTGCTGTATCTCATTGGTGCTGGTATATTGTGCTTCTATTTTCATTTGTTTCAAGAAGTTTGTTGATTTGCTGCTTAATTTCTTCATTGCCCCTTGAGTGGGTTGCTCAAGAATGTCTTGTTTAATTTCCATTTAAGTTGTACAGTATCCAAACTTCCTCTTCTTATTCATTTCTAGCTTTACACTACTGTGGTCAGCAAAGATACTTGATATAATTCAGATTTTAAAAATTCGTTGACCCTTGTTTTGTGGTCTAACACATGGCCTATCTGGAGAATGGTCCACGTGCTGATGAGAAGAAGAATATGCATTCTGCAACTGTTGCATGAAACATTCTGCTAATGTCTGTTAGGTCCCTTTGGTTTATAGCACAGTTTAAATTTTCTGCAAGGATGATTTGACCAGTGCTGATAATGGGGTGTTTAGCTCCCTAACTCTCCCTTTAGATCTAATAATATTTGATTTATATATCTGGGTGCTCTGGTGTTGGGCATGAAAATTAAGTTTGTGAGCTCATCTTAGAAACAAGTGCTACACTACACACCTTGTTGCTGAATAGTATCAGTACAGTTACTCTGGGAAGCTGTGCACTGATGCCAGTGCCTAGGCTACCTTTCAAAGCAATTTTGGAACTTTTTTCTGGACTAGCCATCAGAGCCATTATCATGTTACTCTTGATGTCCTGAAGGTCATCAAAATGTCTCCTTTCACTATTTCCTTAATCTTTGGGCAAATAAAAAAGTTACTGAGGGCCAGATAGGTGAGTAGGAAGGGTGTTCCACTACAGTTATTTGTTTACTGGCTAAAAACTCCCTCCCAGACAGGGCTGTGTGAGCTGCCACATTATCATGATACAAGGGCCAAGATTTTCAGTTAAAATTTTCCTGTATCAAAACATTCCTCTATCAATGTTTTACTTGGTCTTCTATGTTTCTCACAGTCAGCCAATGATTCTGATGTATAATTCAATGAATTTTTGCCATGTTTTCATCAGTTCTGCTTATTACTGGCTGCCCTGACCTCTCTTCATCAGTGATGCTTTCTCTCCTCTCAGAAAAAACATTTAATCCATTTGTGTACTACCATTTTCTTCATGGCATTATCCCCATAAACTAGAACCATCATGTTCCCTTATTTCACTTCCACTCTTACAAAATTTCACAATAAATTTAATATTTGTTCTTTGCTCTAATTCAAGCTCCAACATTCTTGCAATGACAAACAAAAGCATGCAACAATAATGAATGCCACTCAGCAAGACAACGCCACATGTCAACATGAACACCACTAGGAGACACTGACATATGAAGGTTATGAGCCTTTACTGAGTTGTTGTGCTGCCAGTGTAAGCAAGCACAGTGTGGTAAGTCCACGAACTTAATTGTCAGACCTCATATGTGTTTCCATGAAAAGAAAAACCAAAAATGAGCAGGAGTGGTCATACTTATATCAGATGAAACAGTCTTTGAGTCAAAATTTGTCAAAAGAGACCAAGTCATTATATATGATAAAGGGGTCAATTCACCAAGAGGATTTAACAACTGTGTGTGTGTGTGTGTGTGTATATTTGTCTTGGTCTTTGATTTTTGACAGTTTGAATATAATGTGCCTTGGAGAGTACATTTTTGAATTGCATACATTTGGGGACTCACAAACTTCCTGGATCTGGATGACAATATTTCTCCCAAGATGGGATATTTTCCCCTTTTATTTCATTAAATCAGTTTTTCTATGCCATTTTGCACCTCTTCTCCTTCTGAAATTCTCACATTGTGGATATTTGTTCACTTAATGTTCCATATATCCTATAGTCTTTATTCTTTTTCGTCCTTTTGGCCTTTTTGTCTGACTGGGTTATTCCAAAAGACATGTCTTCAAGTTTAAAAATTCTTTCTTCTTACCTGATCTAGTCTATTTTTAAAGCTCTCAATAGCATTTTTTTAATTCACCGAATTCTTCACTTCCAAGATTTGATTCTTTTTTATGATATATACCCGTATCTCTTTGTTAAATTTCTCATTCAGAAAAATATGGAATGCTCCTTGAATTTGTGTGACATCTTTGAGCAGGAGCCATACTAATCTTCCCACATCATTCCAATTTTAGTGTATGCTAAGTCATACTACCAAGATAAATACCCACAAAGGATTTTCTAACTTGTGGGTTTTCTAGACATTCAGTTGGCTTTTAATATTAACTTGAGTTAATATTTGAGTTGCTTGTAGATATCCTAAAAGCACAGAGACAAGGTTTATCTTTTCTTCCAAATCAGATAAATTTGCTAATAATCAGTGTTTCATTGAAAGGTTTGTCATAGGGCTAAGACTGAATTTCCTGTTTAAATTGATATTGGGGAAAGCCTGTGGGATTTTCTTAGCTGTTTGT